TAATTAAATATTCAATTCAATTCAAGTTTTATTTGTATAGCGCCAATTCATAACAGAAGTTATCTCAGGACACTTTTCAAATAGAGCAGGTCTAGACAACTCCTTATAACATTTACAGAGACCCAACTGTTCCCACCAGCAGTATGTATATTAGTGATAGCAACAGTCAGCAATGTGCAGAGGTGCTGTGGCACAGGAGTTTCAGATGTGATTGCTGGAGTGTGTGCTGATGCAGTTTGAGATGAAATTGGTTTCTCTGTAAAACCAATTTATTTATATATAATTTATAGTTACTAATGGTGACATTATACCTTTATTATGACCAACAATTTAGTTCATTGGTTTATTGTTGTTTTTAGTTCATATAGACATTTTAAGTGTTTATTAATGTACATCATTTGTACATTACTTAACTGTGTTTTACTATATTGCCATCTGTTTATACAGCAGCTTCCACTTATGGATGTCTACAGGAGGAGGTAAAATTAATAACAAATCGGCATACAACTACATAACAGTGTGTTATAAGTTAATATAAGTTATATATTGAATGTTTATATACTGCTTATACATTTTAAATAAGAGGGGTTAAAAGTTTGAATAAAAACTGTAGTCTGAAAACAGATCACATTTGTCCAGGTATTCTTTCTTTGGACCAGGATTTTAGGGAAACCTCAATCTTTCTTATCCTAAACCTTACATGGGCAGCTTTGTTTCTGTGCATCACTGCAATGGTGCAAAAGTGAACTGAGACATCTTGACAAGTTGTCGAAGTAGTTTTGTCATTTATTGACCAAAAAAAGAAAAGCACTGACTGAGGTTCAATGGAGTGGACAGATGTTTCTGCAGCTGGCACCAGAGCAATCAGACAGACAGTCATATGCAGGAGCTGAAGCAGGACAGTATGTTGTTACAGTACATCAATCGAACTGATACGCACAGTGCAATGGAGTCTATGTTATACACACACATTAACTACACAGAATACACACACACCTTCCAAAGATAAATTCAGTCACTTAGGTTTTAGGCAGAGAAGGCTTTGTTAATTTCTAACACAGGCCACTTTTAGGAACAGAGTACAGTAGAATGAGACACAAACATGCTGAGGAAGTCACTGGTGGGTCAATACATCTGCATAGCACGGCTCCCCTGACCATTAATGATAATACACACACACAAACGGGTATACTCGGCAAACACCATAAAACACAGAGAGCAGTCGGAGAGTCTTTGAAAATGAAATATTAATAAGAACATTAATCTGCGGTGAATATGGAGGCATGGCTTCCTTCCAACACCATCCACTCACAGTGCTGCAGCGAGGCCGTGGTGCACATTACCCACTGTGTGTCCCCTTTCTTCATTGGAAGACATGGGTTGGTTTAAAACCATAACAGTGCTGAGGTTTATTGGCATATTTGCTGGGTTTTTGTAGCCATACTGGCTCAGAAGTAAAAGGGGAATGTAGTTAGAATTCACCCTTCCTAAGTACCGCCCCTTTTTGCTCTGTGCTCCAATAACAGTTGAGCAAGCCTCGGGTCAACTTCCTCCTTCCCTGTACGTAAATGTGCTATGCTCGTCTTTATTTAAAAGACAAACACATTTTGAAGATGGTTGAAAGTTAAAAGCGACATATAGTCAAATCTGAAGTTAGCCAATGTTAGCAAACTACCTCAATTATCTAGCTTATTAGCTAGTGTTTAGCTATCATTAAATTAAACTAGCTAGCTAATGATTAAAGTAAATTTGCTAGGTAGTTGGCTAGTTTTTGCTATCTTAGGTCTTTTATTATCTTAAGTTAGCTTATGTTAGAAAAAGTTAGATAGCATTTTGCTAACATTAGAGAACTTCAGATTTGACTATGTCGCTTTTAACTTTCAACCATCTTCAAAATGTGGTTGTCTTTTAAATAAAGACGAGCATAGCACATAGCATATCTAATGTACAGGAAAGGAGGAAGTTGACAGATGTTCCAAAAGGGGCGGGGTTTAGGAAGGGTTAACTGTGGTTCAAATCACTGCTGTGTGAAAACTGTAGTATGGAATTCTGAAGATATGGTCTTTGGGAATTCTAACAAAATAAGAAGGATGTCTTTAACGCTTTTACTACAACTAAAGAATCCCATGATTCCAAAGTAAATCAAGGCTTTTTCTTAGCTGCTGAAAGGCTGACGTGGAGTTACAAGGTTTTCACCCAACAGTGACAGTATGCATTGCTGGTGCACAGAGGAAAAAAATACAGATTCTGAATAAGCCCATTTCAATACATGTTACTGCTGGATGAACAGGAAGTAATAGAGGTTGTACAGAGGTCAGTGATGTAAAGAAACAATGCCACAGTACACAGTGAAAAAGCTACAGGGGTATTCACCAGTGGTCAGACCACATGGTGGGCTACAGTAAGGTGGGGGAGAGGCAGATGTGGTTTAGCGAGGATCATCAGGAGCGGCGATTTTCTCCAAACTGGGCTCCATGCCCCAGATCTCCCTGGCATACTGGGAGATGGTGCGGTCACTGGAGAATTTACCACAGCCGGCGATGTTATGGATCACCATCTTGGTCCACTCTTTAGGGTTCTGTTAACACACAGGGAGAGGAGGATGTAAAACAAGATTCCTCAGAGAAAATATATAGTAGTGTAGTTTAGTACAGTACTTTATACTATAGTACAGTACCCTATCAGGGGTTCACAAACTTTTTCATGTGAAGGGCCCCCACAAAACATGCACATTAGACCAAAGAACCCCAGTTTGAGAGAATTTTGTCTTGCGGAATCCCTTTTGAGTCTTTTTTTTTTTTTTCCCCAGGTTTAAAGATTAAAGTTCATAAAAAAATGTCACCACCCAAGAGTGTTATAAATCTTATTTTTAGTTATGATGATTTTATTCATAATCAATAGAATCAGCAGCATGCAGTTGATCATACTTTATTATTAAGGTAATGTGCTCTGATTGCAGGGTGTATGTGTATATTTTATGTAAAAGAAGGTCATGATGGGTTTACTAGCCTATCTCAATATTTTCGTTTGGTTTGAAGTCTATAAAAGTGGGTTGCGACTTAGCTCTTGTTGACTTCCTCTTGCTGATGTACTGACCTTATAGAGTGCGCTGACTTTCTCTTGACATTTGATGTAGTCTTCATAGTCGGCAAACACCTTGAACCTGCAGACATACAGTTCCACACAGATGAGATGAAGCATTCTAATATGAATGAATTTGAGACATTAATTTGATCCACAACTTTACATCACATAACTAAAGAAGTCAGAGTGTCATTAGCAGACGGTTGGCAGTGATAGACTGAAGACACTGGAGGGCTGTGAACATACAGGCTGGCTGTGAGTCAGCACAGACAGTGGGCAGATTCCTTAGTGTCAGCATTAATGTGCTCTGACCTGTCGTGGTGCATCAGCATGTTGACGAGGTCTTTGAACAGGTCGGGCTGGCCGGGGCTAAAGGTGTCTCCAGATATCTGGTCCATTGCCTGCTTCAGCTCAGGGATACGGTTGTAGTACGACACAGCGTCATAGCTGAGGACATACGACATTCAACAACAGGTATTACGTAACAACATGGATGAATATTAGCCTAAAATCTGGCCCAGTGCAGCTTTAATTATGAATTAAAAACAAAACAGCAGACATTTTGACATTAACTAGAATTCTGCACAGGTTTAAACCCCATGTGGTACTCCTACATTTGAGACCTGAACCTGACCAGAGACCCTGAAACGTTTCCATTGCATAGGAACCTTATAGGATGGTTGTTCCAGGTATTAGTCAAACCCTCAGGTGTTAACAGAAAGTCAAAAAGTCTAGATTTTAAATTGGACAAGACATGAAACTATTAATTAATAGTATTTTTTTTCTTTGGCAAATGACCATGAAAAAAAAGATAATGGCCTTTGAAGTGTCCATTATTAGGAATTAATGGACAATGGGGAGGTCATTATCCCTTAATGTTTAATGTCATTCCACTCACACCGTTGTGATGCTCACCCCTTCTTGTCCAGAGCCTCCACATCTTCCACCCTCATGCCGAAGATGAAGAGGTTCTCCTCTCCAGCTTCCTCTGCCATTTCCACGTTGGCTCCGTCCATCGTGCCGATGGTGAGGGCTCCGTTCAGCATGAACTTCATGTTCCCGGTGCCAGAGGCCTCAGTGCCCGCCGTGGAGATCTGCTCCGACAGGTCAGATGCAGGGATGACTGCAGACAGGAGACAGGTGGAAAAGTCCAGAACTTCAGTTTTTTCTCTTTATCCAATTTTTATTTAACATGAAGCCAAAGTCTCCAAATGCTATATGCTATATGCTATATGCTAACTCATCATTGGTATTGAGTGCGACGGAAATATTTGGGTCTGTACCAAAGTAGTACTCAAGATTGATACCTGATAATTTAACAATAAGTATTAAAGCTGTTCTGAACAGCATCCATTACCCTTCTCAGCCAGAGTCACCCGATAATTCTCCAGGAAGATGACTTTGAGGCGATCTCCCACCACAGGGTCGTTATTGACGATGTCGCCAATGGATGTGATCAGCTTGATGATCATCTTGGCAGTGTGGTAACCTGGAGCTGCCTGGAAACACAGAGGACAATTGTGTTGAGAAGCATTAATAAACAGCTTCTAAACACTGTTGGCAGATTAGACACACCTTCAGTGGCACTCACCTTTCCACCAATCATGACCGTCCTTGGGGTCCATGACTTGTTGGGTTCCTTCTTAATTCCTGATTAAAAACAGAAAGACAAAAGTTTTCCTTTCTGAATCCATGTGTATTTTCTAAAACACTGCCAGTAACAGAGCAAACACCCACGATTGTACAGTGTGATGATGTGCAGGCAGTTGAGCAGCTGTCTCTTATACTCGTGGATCCTCTTCACGTGGACATCAAACATGGAGTTGGGGTTGATCTTCACCTTGTAGTGCTCTTCAAGATACGCAGCAAACTTCATCTTGTTCTCCTAAAATGTTGAGGCCATACAGAGGAATGAGATTAAAAAACAGAAAAAGACCGGACAGTGATCTTTCTTTAGGCGTGCTTAGCTCTCACCTGTTTGATTTTGGCAACATCCCGAATGAAGGAGTCATCGTCCACAAATTCCAGAAGCTGCTTCAGCTGGTCCAGGTCGCGGATGTAGTCTTCACCAATCCTCTAAATAACACGATTACCACATAAGAGTAGTATTATTTGACATGTGGGGGGAGGCACTGGTTCTCACAGTCAGGATTAAACACAGAAACACAGGAGTCTCCTGGGTCATTCAATAGTATGTATGTATGTATGTATGTATGTTGTATGTATGTTGTATGTATGTATGTATGTATTATGTATGTATGTATGTATGTATGTATGTATGCATCATGATATCAGCTGTATGCGCATCATGTATGCATGTATGTAGATGCATTATTACTGATTGCTGTGGTAGCTTTCTTCATATTAGATATTCAGTGATAAATGTAATCTTCACTCTTCACTAAGTGCCAAACAATCATATTTCTTTTCATGAAACATCAGAAGTTTATTGATATAAGCACCAGGGC